AGGAGGAGGAGAGGCAGGAGGAGGGAGGAGGAGGAGGAGGAGGAGGAGGAGGAGGAGGAGGAGGAGCAGAGGAGGAGGAGGAGGAGGAGCAGAGGAGGGGGAGGATTTGCAGGAGGAGCAGGAGCAGGAGCAGGAGCAGGAACAGGAGCAGGAGGACAGGGAGGAGACGGATGAGCAGGAGGAGGAGGAGGAGGAGGCGGCATTGTGCGAGCCCACAACGACGTGAGAGACTTCCTGCTCCAGTGGGTCAAGAAGCACATTGATCCACACGCCCTGAAAGAGCAGCGGATGGACAGCCTCCGGCGCGCGGCCGGCGGCGCGGGCGCAGCAGTCGCTCGGGAGCCTTGAGACGGGGGTCAATGCAAACAGGGGTCAGCCAGGGCGCCAGATCCTGCAGGATCCTGCAAAGGCCCCCTCTGGCTGACCCGGGTCAGGGAGCCGCTCGATCGTGGCCGCGAGGCGGCCGCGCGTATTGGCTGACCCGGGTTTGCGAGGATCTGCGTTGCAGTTTTTTTTCCTGCATTGCAGTTTTTGGTTTCCTGCTGACCCGGGTCTGGATTGACCCGGGTCAGAAGGTCCCCGAGTCGCGCAGGTCGCCAATGCTGGCCCCGAGGACGAGGACGGCCGCGCCGACATCCTGGACGTCCTGTGGCAAGAGAGCGGCCGGCTCGTCGCCATCGACATTGCCATCGTGCAAGCCGACAGCGACGGGCCCGCTGCCGCGCGGCAGCAGGCAAAGACGGAGTGACTGCTGCCTCTGCCGAGCGGGGCAAACTGACTCGGTACGCGGGCCTCCCGATCACGCCTTTCGTCATCGAGGCGGGAGGGCGCCCTGGCGAGGCAGCCCAGGGGGTTGTGCGCTCGCTCGCGCACCGGGCCGGAGTGAGCCCAGCTGCTCTGTGGCAGGCGTTGTCCGTCCTCATCCAGACGGCCATGGCATGGCAGTTTGCGACGGGCGCGTGCCACCCGGCAGCAGTGGCCGGCGCCGGCGCCCTGTGATCCCTGAAGCCCTGGCATGGCTCAAGGCGTGTTTCCGTAGTCGTGATGGCTCAGGCTTCTCTCCCCCCCTCCTCCTCCTCCTGCCGCTTGCCTGCCTCCCCTTCCTGCCGCTGCTGCTGCCGCCCACGCGTTGCAACGAATTCAGCAGACGATCGCGAGAGGCATCGCTACATTCTGTCCCAGACCAGCCAGTTTGTCAGTCAGCCAGTCTGTCAATCCTATTCTCATAAGCGCTGGGCAGGGTGACTGCGTGGCGGCATTGCGCCCAGAGCGTGTCCTCATAAGCGTTGGGCATTTGGACTGGGTTTCGGCACCCTTATATTCGACCGTGTGGCGGCATCCTTGTTTCCCAACATACTTGGCGCTGCAAATCAGGCGCGATTTATTTTTTTCCGCGAGCCGGAGCTAGCCTGCGCATCGAATTTCACGCGGCCCCGATGGGAACGTGCTTCAGTTTGTCAAATCTTTACATGCGATTAGTTTAGTGAGCTGACACGCCCTTCCGGCTTCGCCGTCGGTCCTCCTGTGCGATGGAGGTGCCGGTCCCACTCGGGAGCCGACGGCGCGAGCAAGCAGGAGCAGGAGCTGGAGCAGGAGCAGGACCAGCAGCAGCAGGAGGAGCAGGAGGAGCAGGAGGAGGAATAATGATAAGGAGGAGGAGGAGGAGGAGGAGGAGGAGGAGGAGGAGGAGGAGGAGGGAGGATGGAGTAGGAGGAGGAGAGAATGGTAGGAGGAGGAGGAGATTGGAGGAGGAGGAGAGAGAATGGAGGAGGACGGAGAGCATGGAGGAGGGAGGAGGAGGAGGAGGAGGAGAAGGAGGAGGTGGAGGAGGAGGCCCGAGGAGGAGGATGAAGGATGCGAGGAGGAGGCGGAGGTCGGAAAGAGGTGGCGCCCTGCTGGCAAAAAAAAACGCGGCGGCCGGCGGCCGGAGGAGTGAGGAGGAGGAGGAGGAGGAGGAGGGAGGCGGGGAGGGAGGGACGGGATGGGCGGGACGGCGGGGGCCGGAGGAGGAGGAGGAGGAGGAGGAGGAGGAGGAGGAGGACAGAGGACGAGGGACGAGGACGAGGACGTAGGCACCGAGGACGAGGACGATGGCCGAGGGACGAGGACGCAGACGTGGACGAGGAGAGGACCGAGGACGAGGACGAGGACGAGGACGAGGACGAGGCGGGGACGAGGACGAGGACGAGGCACGAGGACGAGGAGGAGAGAGGCGGAGGAGGAGGCGGAGGAGGAGGGAGGAGGGACAGGAGGAGGGAGGAGGAGGAGGATGGAGGAAAGGAGTAGGAAAAGGAGGAGAGGGGGGGAGGGGTGGAGGAGGAGGAGGAGGAGAGGTGAGGGAGGAGGGGAGGAGGAGGGGGAGGAAGCAGGAGAGGATCAATAGCAGGAGCAGGAGCAGTGAGGAGGCGGAGGAGGCAGGAGGAGGAGGAGGACAGGAGGAGGAGGAGGAGGAGAGGAGGAGGAGGATGGAGGCAGGAGGACGGAGGAGAGGAGGAGGAGGGGGGGGGAGCTTGGGGCGCGAGGAGGAGGGCGGCGGAGGCGGAGGAGGAGGAGGAGGTGGAGGAGGAGGATGAGGAGGGGAGGAGCAAGCCGTGGGAGGAGGAGGAGCAGTGGAGGAGGAGGAGGAGGAGGAGGAGGAGGAGGAGGAGGAGGAGGAGGAGGAGGAGTTGGAGGGGTTCTGATTCTCGCTCCGTTCCTTGTAGCTGGGTCGGGGGGCCTCTTCGTGGCCGAGACTCGCCGTGACCGGGAAGGCCACTCAGCCCGCGAGCAGGCGGGGAAAGAGGGAGTGTTTCAGGGTTCGTTTTCTGCGGCTCCAGCGAGGCGGTCGGCCTCGCAGCAGCCGCCCTCCCAGGGATCTCGGGGTCAGGCCCAGGGGGCGCGAGGGGCGCCTCTAGAGCCAGGCCTCGAGGCGGAGGAGGAGGCGGCTGCTTTCCTCCACCGTTGATGGGGGTCGAGGGTTGAGCTGCTGGCCAGAGAAGCCACCGCCCCTCGACCTCCCTGACCAAACACGTCTAAGCACGTTAAGCGTTCATCCCTCACGGGCATTGTAACAATTCCTCCTCCTCCTCCTCCTCCTCCACCTCCTCCTCCTCCTCCTCCTCCACAGTTGCTCAATATGAAAATACTCTTCCCCTGATGGCGTCCGGGTGACGGCCGCGCACCCTCCGCGTATTGTTTTTTACACACAGGATTCCTGGGAAATCCCGGGAAACGCCTCTCGCTGAGGCGCCGGCGTCATTTTTTCCCAAAATGCTGCTCTCGTTGAGGCGCCGGCCTCACTTCTGCTCCCGAATCGTTCCGAATCGTGTTCCCGCTGCAGCGTGGGCCTCATTTTCGGATCGGTGTTTGGCCTCCGTCGTTCAGGATGGCGTTCTCGCCCCAGCGCGGGCCTTTTTCTCGCGCGCCCATCCGCCCGCCACCACCGCGCCGCACCGCCACCACCACCACCACCACCACGACCACCACAACCACCACCAGCACCAGCACCAGTACCAACCACAACCACCACCAGCACCACCACCACCACCAGCCACCACCACCATCACCACCACCACCACCACCACCACCACCACTACCACCACCACCACCACCACCACCACGACAACCACGCACACACGCACGCACGCACGCACGTGCACCACCACCCACTACGCACGCGCGCGCGGAACCACAGGTCCGCTACGGCACGCGTCCGCGGATAGAGAAAATCAGCGCCATGGTAAGGGATGGGGGGGAGGGGTAGGACGTCAGATATGACGCGAGCGCACCTAGCTTGTCCTCCTCCTCCTCCTCCTCCTCCTCCTCCTCCTCCCCCTTCTCCTCCCGCTCCTCCGGATCACGCGGCCCATCGTTCAAAGCTCGCCACATGTTCGTGCAAGCTCATATCCCCGAGCACGAGGCTTGCTGTGGGAAGGAGAAGCATTGTCAGAAGCAAGGACTGTGGAAGGAGGGCCCATTTAGGGGTATGTGCGTTGCTCTGCGCTCATCGGTTCCCAGGCCTCTCCGCCCACATTGGCGGGAGACGGGCGGCGAGCTCACGGGAATACGTGTCGTCATGAGTTTCATGTGCGATGGGGCGGGCGAGGAGGGCACCAAACACGCGCACGCGCGTTCTCGTGTTTTTTGCCCCTGCGACAGCCCAGTCCCCCCTTCGCAGGAAATTGTCGGCAAGGTCAAGCGGGAATCCGGCACGCAGCGCCCGGGGCAGGCCGGGGCGGGGGGGGGCGGGCCAGAGTGCCCAAGGGGCTCCTTAACGGATGCTCGCATACCCATCGGCCGTTGAGAGTAGGTATTTCTGGATTCCCATATTCCAATATACTGCAAGCGCTTTCCTACTCCAATGATCGAGTGGCTTCACCTACTCCGTCCTCCCAAGGGGGGGGACGGAGTCCAATCTATTTTCAACGCTTTCCCACTTCATGTTTCTACCTACTTCTTCCGACCGATGGGCACATGTCTTTTGTACTTTCTGCTGTGCTATGCTGTGTATATGCATCTATATCCACTTGCGCTGCCGCGCTATTCTGCCAACGCGCTCAGGCGAGCGGGGGTGGGCGCCGTTCCGGGGGGGGGGCGGAAAAAGGCCACGGCCCCCCCCCTTCACAGGCTCAAAGCCAAGTAAAGGACCCCAAACAGCCTTCGTCCCGTTTGTCGGGCCAAACGGGGTGCCCACAGTGGCCTTACCCAGGTTATGGCCTGGGAACAAACCACGCTTTAAACGGGACCTCTGGGTCTTATACCCCGAATGGGAGGATCCTTTGCAGTTCGATTGAAGGCCTCCCCGCGCACTCTGATGCGCCGAAGCCCCACAGCACTTCCAAAAAAATATGTCGTCAAGAGCTGCACCCTCCTCTGCCTGGACCGTGGCCTGGACGATGGAATGGCCTCTAAGCACCCAGGGAACACCAGAAACCTGGAGGAAGTCCCTGGGGGCAGGATGAGGCGGAGGCGGAGGGGGAGGAAGAGCAGAACCCATAGCCCCCATGGCCCTATACAGTTTTGTTTCTTTTCGTATTATTATTATTATTAATCGTCTCCTTCTTCCTCTGCCTCGTCTTAACTTTCATCGTATTCAGCTTCTTCTTCATCATATTCACATTCGGATTAGTCCTCGCTCTTTATTAGACGAGGACGAGGACGAAAAGGAGGAAGAGGGAGGAGGTGAGGAATGGGATGATAACGAAACATGATATGGAAGAAACACATGGGAAGGGAAAACACTCTCATGCAACCAGTGCCACGGGCAAACATAGGTGTTTAGGCTCAAAGCTCCGCTACAACGCCACTGCTTGGAGCCATGGGGAACCCAGCAAAAGAAACCGAGGCCTACTGCAAGAAGCTGGGGCCTACTACAAGAAGTTGGGGAAAAACAGGGGGTGCCAAGCCAAACAGAGGCTTCGCGCGTTCCTTCAACAACCAAGGGCAGCTGGTGGCGACCTTCCGCCGCGCGGCCTTTGACAAGGTCCGCGCGGCGGTCCGCCGAGCGACGGAGCAGCACAGCAAGAAAGAAAACGCCCTGAATACCATGATGACGCACGCACACCCACACCCACACACACACACCCACACACCCACACACCCACGCACCCACACACCTACACACCCACACACCCACACGCCCACACACGCACACACACGCACGCCCACACACGCACACACACACACACGCACGCACACACGCACACACACACACACACACACACACACACACGCACGCACACACACACACACACACGCATGCACACACACACGCACCACAACCCAACATCCAATTGGTGCCACGCAGAAACGGCACGATTCGGAAACACAGTATGTCACGCGAGTTTGATGTTGCGTTTCCGAGTCGTGCCGCTTCTGCGCGGCGCTAGATAGCGCATCTCTTTCGTGGCGCGTCCACAGGAGACGCTCCAACGTGCACGCGCGGAAGGCCAAGGGCGCGCGGGACGAGGCCCAGTCCTGGAAGGACGAGGCGAAGACCGCCTGGGAGGAGGCCTAGAGCTGGAAGCTTGCCTCCCTGCAGGGTCTCTGCGACAATTCCTGCCACCTTTCATTGCCTAGAAACGCATCAGCAACGACGTGCGCCCTGCGTCTGCCCCCCCCCACCCACCCCGAGGAGACGCAGCGGCGCTAGGAAGCGGAGAAGAAGATGACCGCGGCGCAGAGCGATCGCGAGAGAGAAGGTGGAGCTGCGCCAGAATTTGGCGCGCTCCAAGGCAAAACCACGGGCGGCGGACATGCACTAGCGACTGTTGGGTGCGACTGGCGTCTCGCGCAGCAGGGCGCTACCGCAGGTCGTCCGCCCATGGTCTGCAAAGGCGACAGTGGAACGCGCGCCTGCCACCAGGAGGTGACCAACGCGAAGAGGCAGTGCCAGCGCCCCCAGCAGAGAACAACCGCCACCTCGAGGCAGAGGTGGCGCCGCGGGAGGCTTGAGCTCCAGCGGAGAGCAAACGAGCGGCGACGCATCGCCACTCTGCCGTGCCTTCCTGGGTCTTTGGCTTCGGCGGCGGGGTGGACGGCGACGACGGCCTCTCCGACGCGGCCGCCGACGCCGCGCCCCCCGCGCCTGCCGCGCCGGTCGAGAGGGGGCCAGGCGTTTTCCGCTTCCGCCTCAAGATGCACCAGGGTTGCGGCGCCGTTGACTTGGGCGCGCCGACGCCGAAGAGGAGGCGCACGACCCTCGAGGAGGAGCTCCCGCGAGTGCTAGACGAGGGCGGGGTGGCGGGCGCGGCGGCTGCGAGTTCGGGCGCTGGCGCGCCTGCGCGAGAGCGCCTGTGATGGCTGGCGCTCTGAGGGGCGCGATGTATATGAGGCGTTTGCGATCGCGGCTGGAGGCCGCTCAGAGGGGCGCCGTTCTGCGACGGACGAGGCAGCGCGCGGCCAATGCTGCCCCGTTGGACTTTTCTTGCTTGCGCGAGCACGACGTCCCCCGATGAGCAAATGAGGGAGCGCGCGGCAGTCGCGGCGGCGGCCGCAGAGAGAGAAAGAGAGAGATAGAGAGAGAGAGAAGAGAGAGAGAGAGAGAGAGAGAGAGAGATAAAAAAAAAGAAAAAGAGAGAGAGAGAGAGAGAAAGAGAGAGAGAGAGAGAGAGAGAGAGACAGACAGACAGACAGACAGAGACAGACAGACAGACCGACAGAAAGACAGACAGGCAGACAGGCAGACAGGCAGACAGACAGACATACGGACAGACGGACAGACGGACAGACGGACAGACGGACAGACGGACAGACGGACAGACAGACAGACAGACAGACAGAGACAGACAAAGAGAGAGAGAGAGAGAGAAAGGGAGAGATAAAAATAGGGAGAGAGGGAAAAGGAGGGGATAGGTTGGGAGGGTGGTATTGAAACACGTTGTGTTTTCTACGTTTTCTATATGTTCAATGTTTTTTTCCAGACAATGACCGTTGAAAGACATTGTGTGTTTCCAGGTTTTCCAGATTCTATGTTTTCCCAGGTGCTGACCGTCGAAAACCTTATATATAAAAAACATATGTAACGCGTGTTTGTTCTCAGTCGCTAGCCGTGGAACAAAGTTGATGTTTTCAGGCTTTCTAGATTTTCCGCGTCTTACAAAACACTGGTTGTCGAAAAAAACGCTCGGCGGTTGGAAACAACTTGAGATTTTGTATGACCTTGGAAACACAGCGTGTTTTAACAGTCCGCGCGTGGAAAAAAACTTGGGGAATCTGGAAAGCGTGGGGAGCGCAGCGTTTTTCAACTGTCAGCGTCTGGAAAAATATAGAAAATATGGTAAACTTGGAAAACGCACTGTTTTGCAACAGTCATTGTCTGGGAAATCTTGAAATCTGGAGAACGCAGCGTTTTTGAAGAATCTGTCACAGGGAAATGTAGGAAAAGCTGGGACACGCATTTTTCGAATGCCGGCAAGAGAGAGAGAGAGAGAGAGAGAGAGAGAGAGAGACAGGGAGAGAGAGAGAGAGAGAGAGAGAAAAAACTACGGAGAAGAAGTGATCGAGGATGAGGAGGAGCAAGTCTGATCATGTGGGTGGTGGGCAACCATATATATATATACATATATATATATATATACACGTATATGGGTAAATGGGCGGGGGCCTTATCTCAACTGCTTTGGGTCGCCACGGTGGCTCTGGGTTTTTTCCAGAGCCGCCCAGATGGCCTCACGTGGTGTCACAATGATTCCAGAAGGCTCCATAATGTCCCGCGGGGCTTCTGGGCCACCCTAGATAGCTTCAAGACGTCCCAGGAGGATTCGGCTTCGCCCCCCCAGCGGGCCCCGAGAGGCAAAAAACATTGATTTACCATGGGCGTTTCAATGTTTGGGGGATTCTCAAGTTCGAGCTTCCGACGCTCCCCGACAGCCCAAGACCCAAGAGGCCTCCAAGACCGCCTTCAAAACGGCCCAAGGGACCCCCAAAACCGCCCCAAGACGGGCCAAGGGGGACCCAAGACGGCCCCAAAAGGGGCCCAAGGCGGCCCAAGAAGAGTTGCCCAGACTGCCTTACTGGCGTCACAGTGACACCAAAAGGCTGCGAGATGTCCCGCGGGCTTCTGGGCAGCCCCAGATAGCGTCAAAACGGCCAAGAGTATTCCACTTTCGCTCCCCAGAAGGCCCCAAGATGCAAAAGCAATTTACTTACCATGGCGGTTTTTCAAAAGTTTTGGGGGTTCTCGGCTTTTGAGCTTCCCACGCTCCACGACGTCCAATGAGGCTTCCAAAACCGCCCCCGAGACGGCCCAAGTGACCCCCAAGACCGCCCCAAGACGGGCCAAGAGGGTCCCACGACGGCCCCTTGGCTCAAAATCCTCACACCCGCCTCGCCCGACCCGCCAGCCCGCGGCCATGCCCGCGGGATCCCAAACTCCCCCGCGGGGTCCCGCAGGGGCCTCTCTGGCGCCCAGGCGGAAGTGGCGCGCGATGACCGGGGCGCGCGGCGCCGAGGACGTGCCCCGATTCGAGGTGGAGGCGCCCGAGCGCGAGGCGACGAGGTCTCAAGACCGCATGTCGCACGCCGAACGGGCGGCGCCGATTGAGAAGATGGGCGAGCGCGTGCAAATCCTGATGGGCCTCCCCGGGGGCGCCCGGGAGAAACACATGCTGAGGTTGCCCCGGGGAGAGAACGGAGTTTGTGCAGGCACAGATCTTGATCAGCACTCTGCAGCAGCACGCAACCGCCGTGCAGTACGGTCGCGCTTTGAGCTGCTGGCCGCTGCCGCGC